AAATGGATCAAAGCATGACACATGACACATTGGTCAGAATAACACTGGCCACCTCAACGGCATATTCTTGTCCTGCCATCCGCAGTTGATTGCAATACCGACTCTTATCTGTGAAAAAAAATGTTCTCCACTGTCTGTCTCACCAGTTCTGGTGTTGTTGGGTAAACTGTAGACGTTCACGTCGATGGCGTGGGATGGGGATCGGTCCACGGTAAGGTCTACGGCAATGGATGTTCTCTCTGTTAAGACGTCGGCGCACTGTATCGGTACTAATGGGTCTTCCGTGTGTTCCCACTGTCTGACGTGCTGTCTCAGATGCCTGTGTGAAGGGATTCTACAATTGCTGTCGCAGAACATGGCAGTCTTTAGGCCTTGTGGTAACCCGTGGTCTACCAGTTCGGGGGGCGATCATCCGTGGTGTTGGTGGCTCGAAAGCGTTGCTGAAGCTTGTAGATGGTCCGAATATTGACCTGGAAGTGATTGGCAACGGCTTGGGCAGTGTGGCGAGCGTCGAGTCTTCCAAGCGCCTGGTCCCTCTGAGCTGTCGTGAGTCGTGGCATGCTGCTGACGTTGTAGTGTGAATGATTCAACCAGGTATGGGGTGCATTTTATAGGACTGGTCCCGGTGAACAGCACGTGCAGCATGAGTTACTTGAAAATCATGGAGAACACATTACCATCTCAGAAGTCAGGTTGCGTTTTTGAGAATATTTCCTGGGTTCAATTCCGTGTTTGAGAAGGAGCCTTATTGCTCAGGTAAGGTTGGAGATGTGGTCACAAATAATAAAAACATTTGACATATTTTATGCAATGCGTCTATTCAGATTAACATACCAACCCGACGTTTCGTTTGCTGCTTAGTATATGTCATGTACAGATTGATCGATATGGAAAATTTACACAAATTAAAATAATTGTAACAGACATTAATATTTAATGGAAAAGCCATTGTTAAACCATTATTAAAGAAATCCAACATGGATCCAGATATTCTGTCGAATTACCGTCCAGTCAGTAATCTATCTTACATTTCAAAACTGCTAGAAAAGTGTGTTCTAAATCAATTAAATGATCATATTTATTCCAATAACCTTCAAAATCCATTACAATCTGCTTACAAACAATACCACAGCACAGAAACTGCTTTACTCAAAATCACCAACGATATCTACCGAGCTTTAGATCAACAGAAATGTGTTATCTTGGTATTCTTAGATCTTATATACATATAGATTGCTCAGCCGCATTTGATATGCTCGATACCGAAGATTTCCATGATGCATTATGGTGTGAAATTAGTTTGCGTGGTTCTGTCTTTAACTGGGCTAAGTCATATCTAACCAATCGCACCCAAGCTGTCAGAATTAGAGATTCAACATCCGATGATAATAAAATGCCTTGTGAGGTACCGCAAGGTTCTGTACTTGGACCTGTACTTTTTATCATCTTCACAAAGTCTACCATTAAGATTGCTGAAGGCTATGGGCTAAATATTCATGTGTTTGCAGACGACTCCAAACTTTATATTGAATTTGAGACAGACTCGCAACATTCCACGATACAAAATATAGAACTTTGTCCCACGGAAATTCTTGGTTGATGACAGAACATTTTTTTAAATTAAACCCAAATAAAACAGAAAATCTAGTCGTTGGAACTAACTCTGAAAAATTGATCAAACGCTAGTTAATTTTGATAAAGAAGTGATCACAGGATCCTATAACTCTCGAAATATTGGTGCTGTATTAGACTCGAACCAATCGTTGAACGATCACATACAAAGTATTTGCTCCACCACCTTCTATCATATACATCGAATTTGAAAGATCCAACGCTATCCCAATTATGAAAATAAAGGAGAACTCATTCACGCATACATCTCAACTAAACTAGGTTACCAAAATGGTTTACTATACGGCTTACCAGACTATCAGATTAACAAACTACGTCATGTTCAAAATTCAGCAGCTCGGTGCCTCACTAAAACTAGAAATAGCAACACATCTCCACGGTATTGCAATCTCTACATTGGTTCCCAATTCAGCAAAGAATTAAGTTCAATTTACTCCTCTTTATCTGCAAAGCGTTAAACGGCCAAGCTCCATCTCATATAAAAAGTCTTGTAGAACCCTATACCACCAGCAGAAATCTTCGTTCTCAGAAAAAACATATTCTAAAATCTCCAGCTATTAACTTACAACTTGGAAAACGTACCCTTTCTTATACTAGCCCTTTTCTTACGAATGACTACCACAGTCAATGAAACAATTACCGTCTGTGGGTCATTTTAAATCTCAACTCAAAACATTCTTGTTTCAAAACCCTGATCTGTAAATAATCAGTGAATATAACCAACAGCGCCTTAGAAACTGTTTTTGTTCTGTATTAACGCGCTTTACAAATAAACGATATCATTATTATTATTATCAGGATTACTATGGCCGACATTAATATAGTAATATGTCAAGTACATATGGATCGGTATGGAAAATTCACACAAATTAAAGTAATTGTGGCAGGCAAGAAATATTCAATCGCCACACGTCCTATGTGTAGTACATATATTTGCGCCCATGATTTGGGTTTTTTGGGGAATAACAGATCGATCGGTATGGAAAACAAGATAACTGTAGCAGCCAGTTAATATATTATGGCAATTATATTATCCCCACACACCTTAAGCGTTTAACATGGCAATTTTGTAATCGGCACACACCCTAAATGCGTATTACATGCATTTGTGCACGGTATTTTAGGGTTACGACGGCCGACTCTCGAATTGTGTAAGTATAGATATACCATTTTGTAAAATTCACACACATTCACGCCAAAGAACATGATAAATCCGTCATATAATTATGCATTTATACGTTTGTGGGTGAGGAGACGTAATCCTCCCAACGAGCCACGGTGTAAGACGCTGGTTCATTAATCAGGGTATCCGATCTAGGTGCTGGTCGAGGAAGTTTCTTGGGATTTCCAATCGCGGTTTCCACTTGTCAGTGATGCTGACAGTGTCTAGCCGTACACGTTGGTAATCAAGTAAAAGAACCCTTTTAAAACCGCATTTCATTTTGTAATCCTCCCAACGCATATTCCGTAACCTTTTTGTGCGATCGATGTTACCGGTAGTTATGTGTATCTCAGTCAGTCAATATGGAGAACCCGACGAAAACCCACTAGGCTACTGGTTGGGTAGAGATGGTTCCACTACTGATGTCTTCCGCCTTACTCCAGCCACAGTAGTAGCTCGTCCTGCGGAGTTCCTTTGCGTAAGTTTTTTAGTCAAATGACTACAAAAAGGTTACTGACCTACAGCTCCCTTAATTTATACATAAACTGGCCCAAAACTGTACTGCACATAGCTTAACATATAATAAACCAATTCCCATTGAAATAAAGGTGAAGCCTTACCGCATAATTATATGATATGAAACCAAACTGCTACGAGTAATTTTTCGCCTACCGAACTTATTTCATCTGGCCGGTGTCATGGCGGCTTTTACATTATAAGAAACACCGCTTTGAAAATGTAGATTGCATTACCACAAAGTAACTACTTTAGTGGTCCAGTCTTCACTATTGTGATAGAATTACTTATTTCAATACAAACTGTAATGATATGTGTTGACAATTGTGCGTTTGAACCTATTTGAAATTGCGTTAGGAGTCTTAGACTGTATCAATTGTAGCGTTAAACTGTGTGTTTAACTATACATTTAATTGTAGCTAATTGCCTCATGCTGATTGCAAACTTGTCTCAAGTTTATCAAAAGATAGGTTGACTGGCAACTAAACATGCGCCCACATCACCTTTGTCTTCGGAGAAGTCCGTATGGGTCATATTTGTTGTTTTGCAGGTGGAAACATCAAAATGACACAAAAGCTGATCAAAAGAAACAACCTATTAATAAGTAATAAAGTAATTAGCCTGTAGAGAGTCCACAATATGTTTCAATGTCAGTGAGGGCTATAACTCTGCCAGTAATTATTGGTAGTCACTGAAAATCAATGGGTTTTTTTCGTCTGATGGCCATAACACTTACATCTTGTATAAGAGAGAGAGAGAGAGAAATGGGGTTAAACGTCCACTCGACACAAACTAGGTCATTTCGGGACTAACATGGTTTAATTTTATTTCAATAATTCACTTGCGCATAGGGGTCTTTAGCAGTGGGGGGAAATCGGAGGACCCGAAGAAAACCAACAAGGTTGGACAGGCGACCCTACTCCTTGTCACGTACGACCGGGGATTCGAAACCACGCCAGTTGACTCAATGACAGGCTTTCTGATACAGCGGGCACATGCTAACCATTCGGCCATCCAACCCCCCTCTTGTATAAGTCAATTGGATTATAACTTTAGCCTTTAGAGCGTCTTTATGACCTCAAGAGGGTCCACAAGCTAAAAACGTGATTTTTTGTACAATCAGGGGACATAATTCAGGAAGCTATGGTTCGATATATGTGAATATCTACTGGAACAGAGATCCTTTGGATATAAACATATTATTTAAGTTTCATCAATATCGGATAAAAACTGTGACCTCTTTAAAACATTACATACTTTTCCACTATTATCGCACAAGGAGTGGCCATTTTCACGAAATTCGAATTCAACCATCATTAGGGTGTAACCATGATATATTTGAATAGTTTCGAAAGAAACCGAGATGTTTGGGTTGTAAACATACGTTTTAAGTTTCATCAAAATCGGATAAGACTTGTGACCTCTGGAGTGTCCACAAGCTAAAAACGTGATTTTTTGTACAATCAGGGGCCATAATCCATAAAGTTACAGTCCGATACATGTCAATATCGAAAGAAACAGACATCTTTGGACAATAAACCTATATTAAAATTGTGACCTGTAGCGTGTCCACCCAAAAACAAATCGTGGACGGACAGACAGATAGGGACGACAACAATATACGTCCACATCAAAATGTGGGCGTAAAAAACTGATCTAATTATTTCACAAAGTTTAATGAATAATGATTACGTTACATATGCATGAATTAAAACCAAATCACAGTCTAGATATTTCAAAATTAATAAACAATTATCACAATTTTCCATAATATATACAATATTTCAAAATATAAAACAAAATGTTACATGTATATACATTCATAATTTGTAATGAAATAATAAGATCCAATGAAAAAAGTTCTTTATTGTTACATTATCATCAACTCAACTGTCTGTGAAGAAACGATGTAATAACATAACATAACATAACATATTACATTTGATATAGTGCACATTACTGCCATGCATTCAATGGCGCTTCACAAAGTCTTACACAAACGTTAAAGAAATGCTTTACGAAAAAAATATGTTTTGAGTTTCTTTTTAAAATCCGTTACAGTTTGACATTGTTTCACACTTTCTGGAAGGGTATTCCAGAGCCGCGGTCCTAGCACACTGAACGATCTGTCTGCAAATGTTTTACTTTTTGTCTTGGGTATAAATAACATGTTTTTTGATGACGATCTCGTATTGCATGATGAAGTTTGGGACTGCAATAATTCAGAAAGGTAGACAGGGGCAAGGTTGTGGAGACACTTATACACCAGTACCAGTAGCTTGAATTGGCATCAGACTTTAACTGGCAATATATGAAGTTCTTTCAGAGCACCAGTCGAGCTATGGCCGTAATTAACACCAAGAATTAGCTTTGCAGTAAAATTTTGAATTCGTTGGAGAGGTTGAAGAGTAGTTGCTGGCAAACCACAGAGCAGACTATTTCTGTAATCCATATGGGAGAAAACTAAAGAACTGGCAATTTGAAGAGATGATTCTCGCGAAAGAAACGGTCTCAATTTCCGCAAGTTGAACATTGCCGAAGCAGCACAACAAGTCTTCTGGGCAAAATGACTCTTTAAGTTTAAGTTTTCGTCCAAATGCATCCCCAGGAATTTAACACGGGATGAAGACCCAACTACAGAATCCCCAACTCTTAATTCGTGGATGGTAGACTTGTGGCGCTGACGGCTACCACAGAAGATAATAACCTCAGTTTTTTCGTCGTTCATCTTTAGTCGATTATGCAGCATCCAGATTTTAACGTCGTCTAAGGACTCTGATACGCGGGAAGCAATATGAGATTCTGCATCAAGATCTCCGGCTTTAAAACTGTCATACAAGCTGTGGTCATCGGCGTAGCCAACTAATGTTTGATTGTGTCTGATGCAGGATGCTAGTGTACTGGTATAGCAGATAAAGTAGATCGGACCATTGATGCTACCTTGTGGAACTGAAAAATTGACATGTTTTACATCGGAGAAATCATTCTTAACTTTTACACGAAAACTCCTGTTTTGTAGATATGACGCCATCCACTCTTTTGCAATTTCTGCAACACCAAAATGATTCGACATTATCGTAAGCAAAAGCTTGTAGTGCACGGTAATCAAAGGTTTCTATTTCTAGAATTCAATTTTTAATAAGCTCAATCTTGAAATGCATTTACTAAGCTCCATCTAGAATGCATTTTACCAATCTAGATCTTGAAATTTCTCCTGTACCATTTTTCTTCTGGTATTCTACTCTAGATTTCATTATTCCCTACAATGATATATTTGATCAGATAATTTATGTTACATACAGTACACAACCCATCACATTATGTGATCAGCATGAATTATAATACCAATATAGATCACCTGAAAATCAACCAGGATGGTCTTCTCCAGGGCTCCAATATTAATATAAATGCCATTAAATCTAAAAATGACAACACAGGTGAAGTGAATACAGAGGACATGACCGTTCATGCAGCCGGAAATACTCCTGTAACAAGGTACTGCTTAAACTTTGCAGTACTTATCCATTTTTACAATCTAGTAATACATTTCAGGCCTTGATTTCAGTTTATTGAATTAATATATTAGGAGTTTCATCGCTCTCACATAATTAGAACTAAAGTTATCGTGTCCCAAATCATCAACCAATCAAATTGCTTCTCTCTGCTTACCCTAAGTAGAAGATTTTCATCTTCTAAACACCTATGCCAAGTGTGAACATTCTAACTCAATTAAAATGATAGGTATTGTGTTCCAAGGTCTCGACCAATCAAATTGCTTATCGCTCTGCTTACCCCGAACATGCTCATTATCGAACTTAGTCAAGGTATTGATGTAATGAAACTATACACCAAGTTTCATCACTCTCACTTAATTAGAACTAAAGTTATCGTGTCCCAAAGCACCAACCAATCAAATTGCTTATCTCTGCTTACCCTAGGCAGAAAGTGCTCATCTTCGAACTCCATCAAGGCATTGACCTAATAAACATCTACAAGAAGTTTGAACATTATAGCTCAATTAGAAGGAGAGTTATTGTGTTCTAAAATCTCTGCCAATCAAATAGCTTAACGCTCTGCTTACCCTGAGCAGAAAATGCTCATTATCGAACATAGTCAAGGTATTGATGTAATGAAATTATACATCAAGCTTCATCACTCCATCAATTTGCTTATCTCTGCTTAACCTAAGCAGAAAATGCTCATCTTTGCACTCATCTTTATTAGGTATTGACCTAATAAACACCTACACCGTCACCAAGTTTGAACATTCTACCTCAATTAGAAAGAGAGTTATTGTGTCCCAAAAAGTGTGACGGACAGACAAACTGACGGACAGACAGACAAACGAACCCATTTTAATAGTTCCCTGCTTTCTTCGAAAGGCGGGTGACAATAAATTTTTTTAGAGAGTTCACAATACAAGATTCACAAAATAATACACAGTGAACGTTAACAAAGTGATGGTTGGGTGACTCTTCGAACTAGCCAAACCCTTACAGAAATTCTGACCTGTAGGGTGTTTATGAAGTATATTGTACAGTAACAACCATTAAACATACATTATGCATGAGCTAAATCTGCCTATTGCAAGTCTTTCTTTAGGCATGAAATGTTTTCTAAATTATTAATTAGACATTAATTAAAAATACATTATGTAAGATTTAGATAAAGAGCTAGCCATTATTGCTATAACAGTTTGAAAATAGATGATGTAAAATGAATAATTTGAAATTTCCTGTAAATTACTCTATTGCGAATGAAGATATGATCCTTTGAAGTTTGACAAGATGTGTGCATTAATTGCAACCACTTTACTTAAGCTAAGCCTTGATACTCCAATTCTAAATTAAATCGAAATACGGCTGAACCGTTCTAATCTATTTAATATCGGAGACATCCCATGGCATCAAGAGTTGATTATGGTCTGGATCAGTTTATTAATATCTTATTAATAATTTAGATAACTTTTCAGGCTAAAGAAAGACCTGTAATAGGCAGATTTAGCTCTTGCATAATGTAAGTTTAACTAATCATCTCTTGATGTCATCTGATTTCTCGGATATTAGCTAGATTAGAACGGTTCAGCCATATTTTGATTTAATCTTAAAAAGGAGGAGCGAGACTTAGCTTTGAACAACCAGTACGGTCGGTGCAATAATTGCACACGTCTTTTCAAAACTTCAAATTCATATATCTTCGCTGGCAATAAAGCAATTTGAATGAAATTTTCAATATTATTCATTTTACATTATCTATTTTCGAACTATTATAGCAAGAATGGCTAGCTCTCTATCTAAATCTTACATAATGTATCATCTGTAAGTTGAAATGAAGGCACATAATTAGAAAGTATAAAGAAATTACTTGAAACATATTCCCCCCTTAAGTTCTTTTTGGGATCATTTCACTTCTACTGAAGTCTTTAGTTTGATTTTTTCAACTTAAACATCCAACATCAATACATTCTTGTGTCTTTTCTCTGCTTAAGGAGCTTTACTTTTCTCCAAATCAACTTCTAAAAAATATAAATAAAACATAATGTGAAAAATTATTTAGCTACTGCCATGTACATGTACACTAACATAGTTAAAAATACTGCATTGGTTAACCTTCACTTCACTACACAAAAGGCCAATTCAGAATTAGATTGGAGGCCTTGTGCATGTTTAGGCCTATAGTTTACAGAAACTATTCTGAGATACATCAATGTCCTTGTACGTTGTAAATCGCCACAAACTGGATTTGTCTGTTCTATTTCTGGTCAGTTTAACCCCCCAATTTATTTTTAGCTTGAGAAAATTGTAAAGTAAGTGGGTTTAAAATGTTTATTTCCTTCTGGTAGCCTATTCAGAAGCTTATATTCAAACTAGTTCAAAATTGCAGGGTATTTAAGACCGAATGTTGCACATGTCGTTATTTTGCCAGGAACAGGCTATAGTTTACGGTACTGTGCATGCCCAAAGCAAGCTGGAGCCAGAGATTTTAAGACGGCTACAGGTGGGGTTGTTAAACTGGTTTATTTGGTCCCACCTTTGTGTTCAGACGATATTCAATCCAGTTCAATGTCAACGTCTGAACGCACTATAATATAAAAGGAGAGTCTTTGTGTGCTGGTAAATTTGTACAGATAATCTAACCTTTACTAATAACTTGGTGCAGTAATAATAAGCTTAGCTTTTTCTATAGAAAGAATCTGGGTGGCGATTAATTTGTTTACAAATTAAATTTGCAAAATTAACATAATATTTAACATTACCTCACTTTCCCTTACTAATGACATACACATGTGCTTAGGAATAGTTATTGGGTCCATGGACTGTTTTTCTTTTTTATATGTAAGGTAAACTTATGTACCAGCCACCCTCCTCCCTTCGTTCACTCATTGTTACCAGTCCATGTTTCCCCTTGTCAGTGAAGCAGGATGGAGGGCCTGACAAGGACAGCTGTCTAGTCGTTCGGATGGTACAAAAACCTGAGGTCCCATGTACACATTGACGTGCACGTTAAAGATCACTTGACAGTTGGAATTCAATATAAGAGTAGGCCGTAGCGCCACTGTCCAGGCAAAATCTCCCCTCATAGCACACTGTATGGCATATGCCTGTCTTCATTAGCCCAGTTTGGAGTAGAACAGTAGGACGTTAAACTCCATTTCATTTCATTTCATTTCTAAAAAGGCACAAAAGTAAACTATATGAAATGGATAGATAGACTGATAGCATGGACAAAATTACATGACAATTTATACTAAAGAAATGAAATGGGGTGTTTATTGTCATACTTTCTGCAACTAATCCCACTAGTGTAGAATGTAGAAAATAACAATTGAAGGTTGTTTGGGGAATTAAATTCCAAATGGGATTATTCGAGCTATGGAAGACGGAGATGAAATGAAATTGGGTTTAATGTCCTACTGTTCTTTTCCGCCTGGGTTAATGAAGATGAGCACATGATATGAGTGAAATTTTGCCCGGACAGCTGCGCTATGACCTACTCTTACAAGTTATATATCCAATTCCAACTGCCACGGCATCTTTTACGTGCACGCCAATGTGAACATGTGACCTTGTTTTTTGTCCCATCCAAATGACTAGACAGCTGTCCTGGTCAGGCCCCCTGTCCTGCACCACTGACATGGGGTAACCACACCAGAGAATAATGAAACCGATATCTGACATGCAGTGTACTAGTACATGTATAAAGAAATTTTGGTTTGCCCGCCTACTCTTATTTCAATTTCAAACTGTAAAAGGTTCTTTTAGTTACCGGTACGTGCATGCCGTGTACAGGGGAACTTGTTTATCGTACCATCTGAATGACTAATTCCTGTCAGAACTGTATCTCGCAGACAAAATTCTTTGACCATTCCTGTCAGTCCAAATGGAAAGCTTCAATAAGAAAATACTGAATTGTTTCAATCGCATTTAGTAATTGAACTGGAATATACAGGTCACAATTCTCTGGAATACAATTACTGCTTATTACTGAGCGATGTTTCGACTGGGCTTCCCTACTCGAAACATCGCTCAGTAATAAGCAGCACTGGTAATTGCAATCCATAGAACTGTACATAAATAATAATAATCAAATTTTTTGCTTTTTTTAAATAGAATTTTGTGATTCAAAACACTTGAAAATGGTGATAGATTATTATCAATATATAGCCTATTATCAAATGTTGTGGAAAACAAAGAAATGTTGTGGAAAACAAAGAAATGTTGTGGAAAACAAAGAAATACAGTGAAAATAGAAGGAAAAGACTCCAAAATAGCCTTAGACAGAGACTGTGGTAATGGCTAAAAGAGTTGTATTTTCATATTGTGGCTTAATAATAATGAGGACGGACAGGAATTGACAGAAGACTTTGTCCGTGAGTGACCGTTACGAAACAAAACAACTGAATGACTACTAGAGCAGGTCACACTGTTAATTCCTTCCAGCTCAGTAAGACTAAAGTGTCTAAAAGTAGACTAAAACTAAAGCCGCAATAATTTAATATGTAGGGTGACCCACCATAAATAAATATCTCCAAATATCTCGACAATTACGCCACAATATATATATATATGCCAAGCCTCAAATCAGTTTCACACAATTATAGTCACTAAATAAACGATCATGTTGTACTTAATAAGCTATGACCATTAATCATCTATAAATAATAGACTGAAAACTGGTTCCAAGTTGCGTCCATAACATCCAGACACTTTTGAGTAAAAGATAGGTTATGTGCCCTTGTTTTGAAATTAGTCTCGCTTAACCAGTCTATCGACCATTCTACGTCTGATTGACAGGTCTGGATAATCAAGACTACTTTTTTACGAAACATAACAGAAAGCTAGAACAAGAAATTGAATTTAGAAATAAGCACTTTAGACAACTCAACAATTGTTTTAAGAAAGTGTAAAAGTAAAATGAAACTACTGCTAGTATCATGTTCCTGCTAAAGAAAGTGATTCAGAGATAGTATTTGTACTAAACCAAAAGATGCCGCTCTTAACGGTACAGTTAATGATAAAGCAATTTGAAAAATAAAACAAACGTAATTACGGCGCTATTGCACTTTCGTACCTCTACCAGTTCCCGTGGTCGTAGGAACTTGAAATTATTAGAGGATGTTAAGAGGGACTAGCAATGACCACACACCAAATTTCAGCCGAATCGATCAATAACTTTTTTATTCTACCGACCTTTTAATTTCTAACGAGAGAGAACTTCATCTGTTTGACGCCATTTGCTTTGTTTACTATTTAGACTCGAATAACAAGACACTAAGACGGAAACCGACACACTGCACTAGCTGCCTATCTCTGCAGTTCATAAAAATTAATATAATTTTCGTATACTTTAATTTTTGCGCGAAGCCACCATGTTCTATAAAATACTATTTGGTGTTGATCAGTGGATTGGCCTTTAGGTGTGAATATTGCCGTGACCTTGATTTTGACCTTGAGTCTTAACTTCCCATCCATATCAGGGCCTTTGCGTTTATGATTGCCGTGGCCTTATTTCTTACTGTATTTTCTAAGTTAATGTTCGAGGTGAAAGCAGAGACGACGTCCTTCAGAAAAGATAATTGGGTCAAAGTCGTAAGTCAAGGTCATGTTACAGAAAACTAAACTCAAACTTTTCAAAGTCATTTTTTGGACATTTGACCTTGACTTACGACCTTGACCCCGTAACCGTTTTCGAGGGCTATCACCTTGGCTTGAATCATGGACGTTTACCTTGGTTCTGTCACACACTGCTCGGTCAGAAAAGGGTCAAACGGAGAGGGGCCCGTGTCCGAAAGGAAGTCAATGGGCGTGGTCAATGTGAAAGGTCGTGGTGACCTCCACTAGTCACCGTTGACCATCCGTGACCTTGACCCTGACCTAGTGTCCGAACTTCCCATCCATCTCGGGCCCTTTGCGTTTATGCGTGCCGTGACCTTATTTCTTACTGTATTATCAAAGTTAATGTTCGAGGTGAAAGCAGAGACGGCGTCATTCAGAAAAGATAATTGGGTCAAAGTCGTAGGTCAAGGTCATGTTACAGAAAACTAAACTGACTTTGAAAAGTTTGAGTTCAGTTTTCTGTAACATGACCTTGACCTACGACTTTGACCCATTTATCTTTTCTGAAGGACGTTGTCTCTGCTTTCACCTCAAGCATTAACTTTGATAATACAGTAAGAAATAGGGTCACGGGAAGCATAAACGAAAAGGGCCCGAGATGGATGGGAAGTTTGGACTCAAGGTCGAAGTCGAGGACACGGATGGTTAAAGGTGACTAGTGGAGGTCACCACGAACTTTCACATTGACCACGCCCATTGACTTCCTTTCGGGCACGGGTCCCTCTGCGTTTGACCGTTTTCTGACCGAGCAGTGTGCGACAGGACCAAGATAAACGCCCATGATTCAAGCCAAGTTGATAGCCTTCGAAAATGGTTACGGGGTCAAGGTTGTAAGTCAAGGTCAAATGTCCCAAAACTGACTTTGAAAAGTTTGAGTTTAGTTTTCTGTAACATGACCTTGACCTACGACTTTGACCTTTGTAACTTTTCTGAAGGACGTTGTCTCTGCTTTCACCTCAAGCATTAACTTTGATAATACAGTAAGAAATAGGGTCACGACAAGCATAAACGAAAAGGGCCCGAGATGGATGGGAAGTTTGGACTCAAGGTCAAAGTCAAGGTCACGGATGATTAAAGGTGACTAGTGGAGGTCACCACGACCTTTCACATTGACCACGCCCATTGACTTCCTTTCGGACACGGGCCCTTTGCGTTTGACCCTTTTCTGACCGAACAGTGTGCGACAGGACCAAAGTAAACGTCGATGGTTCAAGCCAAGGTGATAGCCTTCGAAAATGGTTACGAGGTCAAGGTCTTAAGTCAAGGTCAAATGTCCCAAAACTGACTTTGAAAAGTCCGAGTTTAGTTTTCTGTAAGATGACCTTGACCTACGACTTTGACCCAATTATCTTTTCTGGAGGACGTCGTCTCTGCTTTCACCTCGAACATTAACTTTAATAATACAGTTAGAAATAAGGCCACCTCAAGCATAAACGCAAAGGGCCCGAGATGGATGGGACGTTTGGACTCAAGGTCAGAGTCAAGGTTACGGATGGTTAACGGTGACTAGTGGAGGTCACCACGACCTTTCACATTGACCACGCCCATTGACTTCCTTTCGGACACGGACCCTCTGCGTTTGACCGTTTACTGACCGAGCAGTGTGCGACAGGACCAAGTTAAACGTTCATGATTCAAGCCAATGTGATAGCCTTCGAAAATGGTTACGGGGTCAAGGTCGTAAGTCAAGGTCAAATGTCCCAAAAATGACTTTGAAAAGTTTGAGTTTAGTTTTCTGTAACATGACCTTGACCTACGACTTTGACCCAATTATCTTTTCTGAAGGACGTCATCTCTGCTTTCACCTCGAACATTAACTTTGATAATACAGTAAGAAATAAGGCCACGGCAAGCATAAACGCAAAGGCCCCGATATGGATGGGAAGTTTGGCCTCAAGGTCAAAATCAAGGTCACGGCAATATTTACACCTAAAGGCCAATCCACTGATCAACACCAAATAGTATTTTATAGAAAATGGTGGCTTCGCGCAAAAATTAAAGTATACGAAAATTATATTAATTTTTATGAACTGCAGTGTTAGGCAGCTAGTGCAGTGTGTCGGTTTCCGTCTAAGTGTCTTGTTATTCGAGTCGGTTTCCGTCTTAGTGTCTTGTTATTCCAGTCTAATTAGTAAACAAAGCAAATGGCGTCAAACGGATGAAGTTCTCTCTCGTTAGAAATTAAAAGGTCGGTAAAATAAAAAGTTATTTATCGATTTGGCTGAAATTTGGTGTGTGGTCATTGCTAGTCACCCTTAACATCCTCTGAAAATTTCAAGTGCCTATGACCACGGGAACTGGTAGAGGTACGAAAGTGCAATAGCGCCCGTAATTACTAAAGCTGCTGTAATAACCAAGAAGCTAAATTTTACTGCTATTCAAAATCGTCAACAATAGATTTTTTACGGCTGTAATAGTTGATATATTTGTAGAGAATTGCACGTACCATGGCTATTTATCGACTCAAAGCGAGTGCGGGGTAGTCAGAAATCAGTTCGAGACACGCAACTGAAGCGTGCACATTTAGCCGTGTCGAGACCAACTTTCTGTAAAGTGCACGGGTCACCCTATAATATGTCATACGTTGCCTATCTTTTTGCTTTCGTCCTGTTTTCATATTCAATCTATTTTGTAAAAATCGAAAAATGATATCTAATTTTGCATCATTGTCTTCTTTTTCAGTAAGGGAATTTCTTCAACACAGGCCCTTATAATAAGTAATAACTAATATTATAGGCCCTAATAACAGTAACAATAAATAACAACGCATTGTTACATGAAATCAGAAAATTTGCCTGGCCTTTTAAGTTCTAAGTTTTAGTTCTAACCACATTTGGCTGTGAGAGGAAGTAGATCTAGTAGGCTATGTATAGCAAAATTTAATTATTAATAAACTATATGAAATACTTACCGTTTGGGTCTTTAAACAAATACTGTAGGCCTATGTATAGGTCGCGAAACAAATCAACGTGTTCTTGACTTCATAAAAGCATAAAAGGTTATATATAATGATGCCATGGCCGTGGCGACATGCTTAGGGGTTTTTTTTGTTTTGTTTTTTTCAGTCAACCCGATTGATTCAGTTTCAAAACTTTCGGCCTCATTCCTTGAGACGATAAATTTATCTAACGATAAAAACAAATTAATCTCAGAATGTCTGATATTGTATTGACGAGACATTCGACCCATTACACGTTCTCTTCCGTAAATAAGATAATCCTAAACAGTTTTGTTTTTTTTAAATTATATTATTAAATTGGTAACAGAATAATCAGATTCTGAAAGCGAATTATTCGGGTAAACGCGTCGCATAACCAGATCACCGCTCGAAATGGAACCATATCGCAAAATAGTTCCAGTTTTTGACTGGATTAAAGATAATAATTAATTGTGTGACATAATAAATTGACTTAGCTGCATTCGATATAAAATTTTGACAAGAAGAAAGTCCCTGTTACAGCCACGGTTATACCTCCATTAAAAGTCAAATCGGAATCTAGGCCACGACGAATCCCTAGTAACTCACTATTTTCAAAAATGACCGAAATATAAATTTACATTTGTTACAGAATCAGAATATTCCAAATCTTTCTAGAACTTTTGATTTGATGAATTTACATAGCTAACAAATGTTTTCATACTTTAGCATTGAAAAGAGATATTACGAATAACAATTTAACGTTCGATACATTTAAAACGAAAGGACAAATTACGTGGGGTTTTTTTATTTTTATTAAATTAGTAGGCCTACAAATCGTTACTGCTATAGTCAGAAATACGATTGGAATAGATAATAGATAAGATCAGATTTTAATGTACCAAAACATCCATTAAGACGGGAAGAATACTCCTATAGTAAAGGGAGCAAATTATAAAATGGTGGATCAAAATGCAATGTACAGTGTATATGTTATAATTGTCGAAATTAGAATATAGGGACCTCTGAAAAGAAAGTTCATTAAATAATAATATATATGCATACAGCGCACAGTTTCCTCCTATAAATAGGATAGGGCCTTGATTATCTACACAAAATCTCATCTTTAATCCCTATTTTAGTATTATTCATAAATATTTTGGCCGCAGTAAAATATGAGTAATTTAGTTGTTTATTAAAGAAGTCCACATTTCGTCAATAACCAGAAAATGGGAATAAAGTTAGTTTTCCAAGTCTCGATTTATTTATTAAGAAAATAAAAACTATACGGCCCTTGTTAGTTGCTACTATAGTAGATAACAAAGGCTGCCCTTGTTAGTTGTTACTGTAGCGGCTAACAATTTACCCCCAGAGGCGCAAAAGCACCCTTAGCGCTGCTACGAGCATCTAAAAATGACTAACAACTTTCTACTACTAGCAGGCTAATAATAGGCAGATCGGGTGATAAATACCGTCTCCGGGTCTGTTACCCCACCCCTCTTATACCGCATAATTCACCCTGTAGATATTATTGTGCCAGGAAAATGTTTATATTTTATGAACAATAATAAATTTCTCTTTTAAATGGTATATTATATTATACTTGGAATTTGATTTTTCATATAGCATTTCGTTGCCGCAAATGACAGCATCCCGTATAAATATCGTCTCAAGGTATGCTACCCCACCCCTTTTTTACCTTACAATTCACCCTGTAGATATTAACGTGCCAGGAAAATGATTATATTTCCTGAAAGATAATACATTCCTCTATTAAATGGTATGTGACAATATACTTGGAATTTGATTTTTCGTACAGAATTTCGCTGATGCAAATGACAGCATCCTA